AGTGAAGAAGGCAACGATAGCCCTCTACACTTGCAAGAAGGCCATTGGGCTAAAATGGGGCATGAACCCAAGAATAGTCCAATGGATTTACCTGGCAATAGTTAGACCAATACTACTCTACGGAGTCGCAGTGTGGTGGCCTGCCCTATCGAAGGGGACCATCACTAAACAACTGGGCAAGGTGCAGCGCACTGTAGCCCTATGCATCAGTGGAGCTCTAAGCACAACACCAACGGATGCGCTAAATGCTATCCTATGCCTGCAGAGCCTTGACCTTGCAGGTAAGAAGCAGGCAGAAATGGCAGCAATCCGTCTTAGAGACTCTGACCAATGGGTGTCACATCACACCGGTCATGCGTCCATCCTAAATGGAAACAAAATCGTCCCCACAAAAACGGACTACTGCGTTCCGAGGGAGTATACGAAACAATCATCCCTCACAGAAACAACTGGCTTGAGGGACCACCTGGTCCAAAGGGAGCCATTCGAATCTTTACTGATGGCTCAAAGCTGGACAACAAGGTCGGAGGAGGAATCTACTCCGAACAGCTGAACATAAGACAATCCTTCAGGCTCCCGGATCACTGCAGTGTCTTCCAAGCGGAAGTCATAGCGATCAAGGAAGCTTTGAGCTGTCTTCAGGAACTAGCCCCTGCGGCAACTCATATAAATATCTACAGTGACAGCCAAGCTGCGATCAAATCGCTGAATGCGATAACAACAAGCTTGGCTACCATGGCAAACTGTCGCAAATCTCTTCATGAGATGGCTTATCAGTTCGTCATCAGCCTAATATGGGTCCCGGGCCACCAGGACATTGAAGGCAACTGCATAGCGAACGAGCTGGCGAGAGCTGGTACAACAATCCCCCTTCTCCATGATAAGGAGGATATTCGTATGCCAATGGCCACCTGCAAGCTCCAAATAAAAGAACATTTTAAGCGATTAATAAATGACAGATTGCAAACCGTGTCACTATGTCGCATAACTCGGCAAACATGGCCTAACATTATTAGGAAGCGCACCGATGAGCTTTGCAAACTCAGTAGGAGTAGGTGCAGCTCAGTCATACGCTCCCTTACGGGACACTGGCTAATAGGCATACATGCAAACAGGCTGGGCGCCCCATATAACGACTTCTGTCGAAGCTGTAGAGATGAGGACGAGGAGGAGACTGTGGAACACCTGTTCTGCTCCTGTCCGGCTCTCAGTAGAAGGAGACTGCAATACTTGGGCGCTCCTTTTCTAATTGACATTTCGGACATGTCTACAATCAGTCCCAGACGGATCGCAGGCTTCATAAGGGCATCCGGATGGGATAATGGATAACATAGGGTCTCACGAGGGAGAAGGGAACGATATATGCGGTATCACAATGGGCCGAAACCGGCCTAGGTGTGTCGGGTCTCTGACAATCCCGACAGCCGCCTCAACCTAACCTAACCTACATATTATTAAAAAAAAATTTTACCTAAAAACATGTTTAATGCGTTCCTTTTGACTTAATTAGTTAGGATATATGTATATATATTTTTTCTCAGCTCCCCATGATATTTTCATTATGTATATTTTTATTTTATATTTGAGCGAAAAAATAAAACTCAAATTTTAATCATTATTTTTGAGTTTTATTTTTTTCGCTCAAACATAATTATTATGGATAATAATTAATAATAATTTATAAAAATAATTATCATAATACTGAAAATTTAAAAATTTTGTTGGATTTGCTTAGTTTATTCTTAGAGCAGTCTATTTAATTCTTCTGTGCGGCTAATTTAAGTGGATGATTTTTTCGAGAAAAAAAATAAAAAATAATCATTATTTACGGTCGCTGGTTTTTTCTGGATTATTTTTAGTGCTAAAAGTGGACCGTTAAGTCGTGTCTCCTGAGACGACGTCGTTTAGTTTTGGTACTTTCGATACCTACCGAATAAATAAACTCCCTTCTAATATCTTATGCCATTTTGAACCAATCTTCGACGCTCAATAGATGACGAATACGATCCTACTTTGAAGGTCCTTTTGGGTGGTCTCTTCTTACTTCCTGAGGCGGGTGGTCATTTTACCGAACAGCATTTTTCGAAATCCTTTAGAAAATTGTGTTTTAAGGACTAACTCATGTGATATTTGGTGCAAATAGCGCCAAAACTAAAATTATTTCACCGCAAAGTCAAAATGACTGCCTTCGCTGTTTCAATTTTTTTCGACTTTTTTAATTTTTTCTTGAAACAAGTCATTCATTTTTGAATTCGCGCCATCGGTTTAAATCAGGGCTCGGCACGGCCCTATCCCATGGGTGCGGGACAAGGCGCTGCTGCTGCGCTGCCGGTACACCGACAGTATAAAAAAGCAGCGGCGCTTCGTATGGCTTCGGCAATGCGACTTCGGCACTTGTTGTCTCGTTTTCACACCAGATACAGAACGAAAATGGCATCAGTTGCTGATCAGCCGTCATCAATGTGAGACCACGCTACGCAACTACTGAAATATACACTGAGACAAAAAATGTTCGATGGGAATTGGGAAAACAAATTTTTCTTTGTTATTATTTTTGTATTATTATTTTATTATTATTTTGTTATGGTTTTGTTATTATTTTATTATTATTTTATTTACGTTTTCTTTTTTATAATTTTACTCCATTTTTTGTATTATTTTGCTTTAAACTTTTGTTTTCCTTGAAAGTTTCAACACGAAATAATTGCAGCATCAACCACAAATAGATTCGTGCAGTGTAAAGCAAGAAACCGGTTTCGGCGTAGGCATCTTCGTGTTTTAGCTACGCACACAAGCGCACTTCACTGTATGGGTGCCGAGCCCTGGTTTAAATTTAGCTAACTTGAAGTGTCAAAATTTCATTCTTCGCTACTGTATGCACACATGTACATGCATATGTATGTATGTATGATCATTGGAAATGTTTTTTTCTCAATTTGTGCTTATTACACTACTCAACAAAATTGAACTTTTTATTTAGGCTTTGAACCAAAATGACTTTTTCTGATAGATTTCGGGATTTAAAAATTTTAATTTTTTATTTTTTTTATGCTGTCATTTTTTTTTAAGGACTTTGCAGTTCTAAAAAGCTGACCAATGCAAATCGGACCAAGACACTTTGTATCTGCAGATTAACGCCTGGAAGATATTCAGCTTTCAAATTCAAATTTCATAATTTTTCTATTCTATGCAACCAGATATAAGATACTTAAGTTATGTGAAATATAAAAGCACTAATTTCAGGTAAAATTAGTTTTGAGTCGTTTTGGTCAAACGGCTGCAAGTTGACCGTTTATCCATAGATTTTAATGAACAAAACCTTAAACGACGCTTAATTAATGCGTCCATCTAAAACTAAAAATGTTGGCCAAGAATTATTTTTTTCGACTTCTCTCGAGTTTTTAAAGTCAAAATTTAGAGAAAAAAAAATACCGCATAAAATGATGAAATTTTAATTATTTGATGTGAGAAGTAGAAGCACTACCTCTAAAAAAAACATTAATAAAATAACAGATTTTAAAAAAGTCATTAAAAACGAGAAGGAACGTGCGAGTCGCTTCTATAGACGCGACTCTACTTATACCCGTACTCAGTCAGTATATACATTTTTGAGCTTATGATTTTTTAGAATTTAAAAATTAAAAAAAAAAATGTTACATTTTACATTTTTTTGCTACATCTGTTATCTACATCTACATCTACAATGTATATTCCACATCTAACATGTAGATTGTACATGTACCATTTATATTCTACATCTCCTCCGCTAAGGCTTGCTCGCGCACTGAACGCGGCAGAGTGTGCGAGCGAGAAAGAGAATCAGTAGCGTCAGCAGCGCTGGAGAAGGAGAGGGAACCAACAGAAAATTAATTTCTTCATTCTGGCTGTAATTATGATCCGATCTAGTTCAGATTCGGCAATCTGGTAGATATGGTCATTCTCTACGTTACTGCGTTTTTAGTTTTATCATAACTTTAAAAATGTGCCTGCCACAGATTTTCGTCTTTTGTGGGGGCGGAAGGGGGCGGGGCGAAATTTTGAAATACACTTGTAGCAGTGTGATATAACATGAGTCTGGGAACCAAATTTGGTTTCTCTAGCTCTTATAGTCTCTCAGATCTAGGCGCTCATCAAGACGGACAGACGGACAGACGGACGGACGGACGGACAGACGGACATGGCTATATCGACTCGGCTATTGATGCTGATCAAGAATATATATACTTTATGGGGTCGGAAACGTTTCCTTCTCTGCGTTGCACACATCCACTTTTACCACAAATCTAATATACCCCTTAACTCTTTTTTGAGTACGGGTATAAAAACTAAACCATAAAAAAAAACCATATTTCGTTAAAAATTTGTAAACCCCAAAATATATAAGAAAGTCATTTTGGGCCACAGCCTAATTGTGGTGTTGACTAGTGTTATCATTATATGTAAATCTATGGATTTAATGTCGTCTTTATTTTGTGTTGCTAAAAATATGTAGATAGAAGCGTCAACCTTGACCTAATTGCAGAAGGAAAAATTGTATACAAATCTATGTATATGCACATACAAAATTATTTGTGACAATGTACAGTGTAGGGACTGAAATATATATAAATACATATATATTGTATTCCTCATTACTTACTAAATTATTTTATATGTACATATAAAGTACATAAATATTCGGTGTGCTTTTTATAAGACTTTGATTATACCCTATTTATTTCATTGTTATTTTCAATATGCGCAAAATTCATTCAAGTGAATGCATATATACATACATGCATATGCACATGCACATCCGAAATATTCTTCGAAGAAACAAACTGGACCTATTATTAAATATTAGATCAGCTGTAAACAATTGCAAGCAAAAATTTAAGTCAACCTTTTTTATTCATAATAGAGAGCAGGACTCGTATTTTATCACTTTCAAAATTATACGTGCATACAAATGAATGTGTATTACTTATCATCAATCGACACATATATACATATTTACGTACTAAGGTGAAGTGGTTGTTTTTTTATGCACTTTCAAACTTTTATGAAGATATATTTATGTATAGCCACTCAATCGAAATACCAAACTAAAAAATAAGTTTTAAGCTAACATTTAAAGTTATCAATATTCACATAATTATTTGTTTTTTATATCACCGAAAATGATTCTTTTATTTACATGAAAAAATTACGTTTAGGAAAAATAGTAAGCCCGTTTTTTAACTATAATTTATCGACTACATACTTAACCATATTCGTTATGACACTATTCTACAAACAATCGCATATACATATGGTATTCTTGAAAGAGATGTGGGCATTTTTTATCGTAATATTCTAATAATACCGTATTCACACTGACAACTATCCACCATCCAATTTTGGGATGGTCTGTAATAGCCTCAGCACACTGAGCCCATACCGGCGGAACAGTGGGAAATGTTGAAACATCCGAAACACGGATTCATACTGGCAACATCCATGAAAAAACATATGATGGGCATGGTATAACTAAGATTTTTGAGAAAAATGTTGTATGTTTGCATATAAAAATATATTGCTAATAGTTTGGAAGTAGTCTTGCTGTCGTTTGTAACATTCATCGTATTCATTCATATTGTGATATTTCAAAATTCAACGTTTTATTTTTAATAACCGCCTAAGGATGGCTGTTAAAAATATAGGGTTTCGATCGTATGAGCTTTCATCGAGCCTTTTGCCATTCCCCCTTGCCCTTATATTTACTGCTAATTGATTATATACAAAGTATAAGACAAGAAAAGCACTACTGAAAAAAGGAAACGTGGTCTGATGCACAATTTTGTTCCGGGAGTCTGTCTCTTCTCCTCGTGACCGTCAAAGTGTGCAGTAGTGTTCTGTATAACTGCTGAACCTTAACCATACATACACCCAACCCCAATCATTTATAATCTGACCATATCCGTGAGAATGATCCAGGAATATGGTCAATGCCCAGTTTCTGATCAGGTGCATTTTATACGAACTTTTCGATATAGCTCGAGGGTTAACAGACCACGGGAACAGACCACGGGAGCACCTGAGCGCTCATTCCTTACGTTGGTGGCACCAACCTAGAGATCGAAGATCCAACGAATTTCCATCGAGTTAATTTTCAGTATAGGGTTCTTCTAAAGTGTGAATTCTATCATGCCCACTGCACACTGAGCCCATCACGGGGGAAGGTGGAAATTTTAGAAATATATGATACACCGGTTCACACTAACACCAACTACCATCCATGAGAAAGAGCTGATGCTCACAATTGCGTGCGGTGAAAATTTGTTCATATTTATAATTAAACATATTCTTGCACAAGCTAATCATGTTTCTGGACATGGATGATGATTGTTTAAGCGTAGAGGCGTCTGGAAGTCCCACAGTTCAGAATTCCCAAACTAAGACGTGATGGTTCCAATTTCTTCAATATATCTGTCGGTTTTATTCACTTTAATTATATGAACGCGTGCAAATGCCGGGCGTTTGCTTGTGGGTGAAGAAGCGCATTTATACCAGTCGAAGTCAGCTGCCGACGGCTGTCGGCTGCGTGAGCGTGGGCGGGAGCGTAAGCGTGGTGAGTCTGAGCGCGCGAGAGCGCGTCACCGGGGGGAAAAACGCTCTTAAGCGTGAGAGCGAGAGCAAGGGCATCAGCTTGCGTAGCTGGATTGCTAACAGTGGTGTGGCTGGAATGCCCACAGAGCTGTTGCCCCGCCGTCCTCACTCTGAACATTCTCCACCCCCCCCCCCCCCTTGCAGGATTGCGGCGGTGCCGCAGAGGACCCAGATGGGTGCCGAGACTCGGGAAGGTGGAGTAACGTGTGGAGGCTCCGGTTACACACCTTACACCGATCACCGCTTCGACAATCCTGGCCGGAGTGTCGGTGAGCCAGGCAATTAGTGCAGTAGCTGAAGTGGAGGACAGCTTGGAGCCTCCTTTCGGAATCCAGGCGGAGAAACCGGCGGCATTTCCGTAGAGGATGGATTTCAGAGCAGACTCGGCATTGGTAGGACTACTACCTCGGGAACGTCTGCTCTCCACGGTGCGGTCGAAACGGGATCGATTAGCCATGTCTGTATGTGGAAGGCTAGGGCGAAATGAAAAAGTCGAAAAAGCATTAGAAGTGAGCCTGGAACGGATGACGGGTACATTTGGGACATTGGAAGCTACTCTGGAAATTTGACAAGAAAAGGATGCAACTTGATGGCTCGCCGTATTGGACACGGGACCAGTGAGCACCCAACCAAAAATTGTTTCTTGGCCGAGAAGAGAGCCATGCCGAGGAGAGAGAAGAGAGCCAGCCTTGACATGACCGATGGTAGGATATCGGCTCCAATCAGGACATCGAATGGTGAGCTCTCGAAGAATGTAGGATCCGCCAATGGAAGACTCGGCAAATCTTTCAATAAACTTGGCGAGATAGGACGCAACGGAAGATTCTTTGCCAACCCGGCCTCGTTGGGGAGCGAATGGAAAACTGACAGAGCTTATCGGAATGAGCGGACACTGTCTGATTGAGGCTGGAGATCTGTGTCTGAATACGTTAGAATGGCAATTGAATCGTGTTGAAAAGGCGTTCCGTAATGAACGTTGCCTCGGAGCCCGAGTCGATCAGAGCGCGGAAAGTTTTTCCAAGGTGGCAAATATTAATAATTGCCGTGACTAGAAGGACAGAGCTTGTGCCGGAGGCGAAATACGTGTGAACGTTAGGATGAGGTACGGAAAAACTTGAATTTTCTGCGGAAGGTACTGGTCGATTGACGTCTGACCAAGCTGTGGAATTGGGTACGGATGTGGAATGTGACTCGCTGGAAGCTGGAGTGCCACGATGCAGAAGCGTGTGGTGTCTTCTCCACAAGTGTTGCAATTGTGGGAGCTTGAGCAGTCGCGAATCTGATGGCCTCTTGCGAAGCAATTTAGGCACAGCTGCAACTAGAACGTGCATCAGCGGACATGTTGAGAAAGCGCGGACATAGTCGGATCGGGTGATTCTACTTGGAACACACATCGCAAGTGCTCTTGCTCGGATTCACGTTGCTTTGGAACGAGTGCGCTGTCCTTGGAACAGGACTGCCTTGGGAACGGAACGGATTGGACTGGCTTCGGGATGATGGTGGATTCTGACTGCCTTTGGTGGGTGGCGGATTCGGAGCGCCTTAGAAGGTGGAAGGGTCGCTCTCGATAGCCTCTAGCGTTAGGTATCGCTGAGTGAGGAACGAGTCGATTTCCTTCCACGGCGGCACCTCCTTTTTGTTCGTTACGGACACTTCCCACAACGCCCGGCTCAACTTCGGCAATTTGGAATCACAGATGGTCACTAGGAGACTGTCCCAATTGTCCGTGCAGACGTTGGAGACCGCTAGCGCATTAAGGACTCCTTGCATCGTACTTTGAAGCTCCTTCAAGGCACGACTGCACTCGGAAGTTACGCGGGGCAAAAAGAGGAGGATGTTAGTTTAGTTACCCGAAGACGATTATTTTTAAGTTGGCTGCGGAGAGCCAACCATGCGGACTCGAAACCGTCATTAGTGAGGGGGGATTTCTCTATGATGGCCTTCGGATCGCCCCGGGTCTTCTCGGTGAGGTAGTACAATTGAACAGATCCAGGAATGTGGGCCAGCGGACGTAGTCCCCTGAGAAAACCTGTTGACGGGAGGCAGTGGACAGTTGGACTGGCTGTGCAGGAGGAAGGACTGTGGATGTGGCCAGATGAGCATTGAGGTATCTGAGGCACTGCTCAAATGCTCCATAGCATTCGCCGTATGTGTCACGGATGTCCGCTTAGATTTCTGGTCGGATGGGGCGGTGGTGATGCGCTCTGCCAGGTGCGACAGTCGGCCAATAGCGGCGACCAATTTGGTCCGAGCGACTGAGGTGGCGGATTGAGCCATTGTGATGCAGTGGCGAGAGCTGACGGGGCTGCTGACGAAGGAGCCCTTCGGATCTTGTTTGGTCACAGCTGGAACCTTAAGAGTGACAGGAGACGGAAATAGAACCGATTTGGTCCTTGCCGCAGGGTTGCTACTTGCTGTTCTCGGAGTGAGGGGTGCCTTGATTTTCTGTGTCGGCGTAGTTCCGGAGGCGGACGAGGTGCGTAGCCGGTTGGAAGAGGTCACAGGCAAAAGCTGGTTGCCGTCCTTGTGACCTGTTGGCATATTACGAACTCACACACACACAGAACATCGGATTTGGAAGTCTTGGAAGGACAGAAGACTGCTCCGAGTAGAATTCAAACAGAAAGACGCCAGGAAACAAATATAACCCACTTATGGAAGGCTGTCAGGAAAAAGGCCTCGAGCTTGTTGGAAAACAATAGTCGGGTCGACTCGGATTGTTTGAGATCACCGTGAAGTGAAATTTTTCAAACAATGAGTGACTTATATTGCGTTGAGCCGAGGAGAGGAACGGTCACTCTGATTTTGACAATTTTTTTGCAAATATTGTTAGTGCGGGCTCCTCCGTTTACCTCTTTGACGCAGTCGTGTTCAGAGCTGGGTTATTTGCGGATGGACGGCGGACGGAATGGCATTTATATCCTCGATAGCTGATTGGAGTGGGCGATAGTTTTGCTCTTTATGTCGGTTTGGATCGACAAAGTGCAGATAAACCTAGTCGCCGTAAGCGTTACCGGAAGCTACAGTCAAGAATATGACTGCGGAGTGGGCGCTGGAGAACTATCGGGAGAAACACCGAAGGAAAACAAAAAAAATCCGAAAAAGGATGACTGTTCGGCTAAGCGCCGGCCCATGGCAGCACAAAGAGAGCAGAGCTAATCTCTTACGCACAACATTGCTTACCTGACGCTGCGCTCTTGAGTCATTTGCCCCTGCCCGAAACTCGTCAGCCGACGAAGGCTGTGAGGGAGGCTCGTCTGCGCAGCAGATGCACTTCAAGATCAATCACCACCGTAATTAAACGTTTTGCTGTCTGGCACAGTGACCTGTCTGCCAAAAGTTCTATACGTTCATAGCATAAATATATCGCTTTCAAAGGTCTTGAACCGGCCCCGCGTCTTCAATCGACCCATCATAAACTCTCGCTGGCAAATTCACACCTTTCGCTATTTTTCGCTTTGAACAATCATCGTCTTTTAATACCTCGCAAAACAACGCTACTGAAAAAGTTCAGTAGCTCA